TAATGAACTATGGATGCTAGCCCAAAATACTATACCCAGCAAAACTTTCAAACAACATAGATGGAGAAAACAAGTTATTTCATTAAAAAAAACAGATTTAATCAATACCCATTCACAAATCCAGCACGACGGAAAGTACTAAAAGAAAAACTCGAACCCAAGGAACTCAGTTACATCAATGAAAACACAGGCAATAAATAATCTCACAACAGCAAAATCCAAAGAAGGGGAAAACACACACTACCACCACCACCAAAACCAAAAATAACAGGAATTAACAATAACTGGCCAATAGCATCTCCTAATATCAATGAACTCAATTCACCAATAAAAAGACACAGGCAAACAGAATGGATATGAAGACAGAATCCATCTTTCTGCTGCATACAAAAAACACACCTCAACTTCAAAGACAGACATTACTTCAGAGTAAAGAGTTGGGGAAAGAGTCTCCAAACAAATGGACTAGAAGCAAGCCATTGTAGCTATCCAAATATCTAACAAAATAGACTTCAAACCAAAATTAATCAAAGGGATGGAGAAGGACATTTCATATTCATCACTGGAAAAAATCCATCAAGATAAAGTCTCAATTCTGAACATCTATGCCCCAAATACAATGGTATCCACATTTGTAAAATAAACATTACTAAAGCTTAAATCACACATCAAACCTTGCACATTAATAGTGGGAGACTTCAACACCCCACTATAATCAATGGACAGGTTTGCCAGACAGAAACTTAACAGAAAATCAAGGGAACTAACAGATGTTATGACTCAAATGGACTTAATAGACATCTACAGAACATTTCACCCAAACACAAAAGAATATACCTTCTTCTCAGAACCTCATGGAATCATCTCTAAAACTCAGTCATAAAGAGAATCTCAAAAGACAAAAAAAATTGGAATAACTGCTTGTATCTTATCAGACCACCATGAGTTAAACAACAACACAAACTACAGAAAGCACACAAACTCATGGAAACTGAACAGCTCTCCACTGAATCACCACTGGGTCAATGAACAAATAAAGAAATTAAAGACTTCCTAGAATTCATTGAAAGTGAATCCACAACAAACTTACAGGACACAATGAAAGCAGTGCTAAGAGGAAAGTAACTACATAAAGATTTGGAGAAATATCACACGAGTGACCTGAAAGCACACCTGAAAGCTCTAGAACAAAAAGAAGGAAACTCAACCAGGAGGAGTAGATGGCAGAAAGTAATCAAACTCAGGGCAGAAATCAATAAAAAGGAAAAAGAATAATACAAAAAAGTCAATGAAATAAGTTGGTTCTTTGAGAAAATTAGATAGACAAACCCTTATGCAAACTAAACAAAAGGCAGAGAGTGCATATCCAAATTAGCAAAATCAGAAGTTAAAACGGAGACTTAACAGCAGACTCTGAGGAAATCCAGAGAATCTTTAGGTTATACTTCAAAAGCCTGTACTCTACACAATTGAAAAATCTAAAAGAAATGGACAATCTTCTTGATAAGTAACACCTACCAAAATTAAACCAAGACCAGACAAACAATTTAAATAGACCTATAACTCCTAGGGAAACAAAAACAGTCACTAAAAATCTCCCAACCACTTTGGAAATCAGTGTGGCAGTTTCTCAGAAAATTGGGAGTTAACCTAACTAAGGATCCAGCAATACCACTCTTGGGAATATACCCAAAAGATGCCCAATCATACTACAAAAGCATTTGCTCAACTATGTTCATAGCAGCATTATTTGTAATAGCCAGAACCTGGAAACAAACTAGATGTCCCTCAGTGGAAGAATGGATAAAGAAAGTGTGGCATATCTACACATTAGAGTACTACTCAGTAATACAAAACAATGACATCTTGAATTTTGCATGCAAATAAATGGAAATAGAAAATACTATCCTGAGTGAGATAACCCAGACCCAAAAAGATGAATATGGTATGTACTCAGTCATTAGTGGATTCTAGCCATAAACAAAGGACATTGAGCCTATAGTTCATGATCCTAGAAAAGCTAAGTAATAAGGTGAACCCAGAGAAAAACATATATAGATCCTCCTGGAAATTGGAAGCAGACAAGAATACCAGGCAAAAGTTGGGAACATGAGGGTGGGAGTGGAATAGAGGGAAGGGGAGAGGGGAAGAGAGAATGGAGAAGGGGAGGGTTGGAGAGAGCTTGGGGGAGTGGGAGGGTGGAGATGGAGGAAGGACAGATATGGGAGCAGGGAAGAAGATATCTTAATTAAGGGAGCCATTTTAGGGTTGGCAAGAAATTTGGCTCTAGAGGGGATCCCAGGAGTCCATGGGGATGTCCCCAGCTAGGACCCTGGACAGTGGAGAAAAGGGTGCCTGAACTGGCCTTGTCCCGTAGTCAGACTGATAACTGTCTTGAATATCACCATAGAACTTTCATCTGGCGACAGATGAAGATAGAGACAGAGACCCACATCGGAGCACTGGACTGAGCTCCCAAGGTCCAGTTGAAGAGCAGAAAGAGGGAGAATATGAGCAAGGAAGTCAGGACCAGGAGGGGTTGGTCCACCCACTGAGACAGTGTGCCTGTTCTAATGGGAGCTCATCATATCCAGCTGGACTGTAACTGAATGAGTATGTAATCAAACCGGACTCACTGAACGTGGCTGACAATGGGGGCTAACTGAGAAGCCATTGATAAAGGCACTGGGACTTGTTTCTACTGCATGTACTGGCTTTTGAGACCCTAGTCTATTTGGATGCAAAGCTTCCTAGGCCTGGATGTAGGGTGGAGGGCCTTGGACTTCCCACAGGGCAGGGTTCCCTGCCCTCTCTCAAGCAGGGTGGGAGAGGGAGGAGGAGGTGTGGGGGAGTAGGAGGGGATTGGGAGGAGGGAAGGAAGTGTAAATTTTTTAATGGAAAAAAATAAATAAAGAAAAAAGAAAAAAAAGAAAAAGTGAGAAGTAGCCTTGAATGCATTAACATAGGAGACTACTTCCTAAATATAACACTAGCAGAACAGACACTAAGACTGACAATAAATGGGACCTTCTGAAAGTGAAAAGCTTCTATAAGGCAAAGGACAGGGTCAATAAGACAAATATGGCAGCCTACAGAATGGCCAAGATCAAAACCACTAACGACAGCCTATGCTGGAGAGGACACAGAGTAAGGGGAACACTCCTCCACTGCTGGTGTAAGTGCAAGCTTGTACAGTCACATTGGAAATCAGTATGGTGGTTTCTTAGAAAATTGGGACTCAATCTACTTCAAAACCTAGTAATATCACTCTTGGACATAGACCCAGAAATACCATTCTTGAGCATATACCTAAAGGATGCTCAGTCATACCACAAGGACACTTGCTCAACTATGTTCACAGCAGCATTATTTGTAATAGCCAGAATCTGGAAACAACCTGATGTCCCTCAACTAAAGAATGAATAAAGAAAATGAGGTACATTATAAACATAGACTGCCCATTCATTCCCACCATCCAGACCTGAGTAATCACACTGAAATTATATTAGTTACAATAATGCTTGGCCTATTAGCTCAAGCTTCTTATTAACTAACTTTTACATCTTAAATTAACCCATTTCTATCAGTCTGTACATTGCCATGAGGCTGTGGTCTACCAAGGTTTTTCCAGAGTGTTTCTATTTTGGCAGTTACATGATATCTCCTTGACTCTGCCTACTCTCTCTATGTATCTCTTCCAGTCTGGCAATATTCTGCCCTGCCATAGGCTGAAGCAGCTTCTTTATTAACCAATGATAATAAAACACATTGACGGCATATAGAAGGCAATTCCATATCAATACACCTTCACAATGGAGTATTACTCAATGGAAAAAAACAATGACAATGACACCATGAAATCTGCAGGCAAATGGATGGAACTAGAAAAAAATCATCCTCAGTGAGGCAACCAAACCCAGAAAGACAAACACGGAATTTACTCACTCATAAGTGAATATCAGATGTAAAGCAAAGGATAACCAGGCTATAGTTTAGAACCCCAGAGAAGCTAGGTAACAAGGAGGACCCTGAGAGGGATGCATAGATCTCCCTGGGAAGAAGAAATAGATGAGATGTAAAATGGGAACTAGTGGTAGAGGGAAGGGGATGGGGAGATAGGAACATGAATGATCAGGATGGTTGAGTTGGGAATGGATGGAAAGGGGAGAGTAATGAAAAAGATAATCTTGATAGAGGGGGCCCTTATGGGGCTAGAGAGAAACCTGGTACCAGGGAAACTCCCCGGAATCTACCAGCTAAGTAGCAAGAGTAGAGACGGTGTTTGAATTGGCCTTCCCCTGTAATCAGATTGGTGACTACCTTAATTGTCATCACAGAGTCTTCATTCAGTAACTGATGAAAGCAGATGCAGAGATCAATAACCAGGCACTGGACTGAGCTCTGTGAGTCCAGCTGAAGAGAGGGAGGAGGGATTATGTGAGCAAAGGGAGTCAAGATCATAATGGGGAAACCCACAGAGACAGCTGACCTAAGCTTGTGGGAGCTCACAGTCTCTGGACCAACAGCTAGAGAGTTGGCATAGGACTGATGACCCAGGCTTTCTGCATGTGGGTAGCAGTTGTGTAGCTTGGCCTAGAAGTGGGACCAGGATCTATCTGTCCCTGATGCATGAGCTGGATTTTCAAAACCTATTTCCTATAGTAGGATGCCCTGGCCACTCTTGATGCAAGGGGGAGGAGCTTGGTCCGGCCTCAACTTGGTATGCCATGCTTTGTTGACTCCCATGGGAGACCTTACCCTTTCTGAATGGAGAGGAGGAGTAGAGGGGGAGTATGTGGGGGGAAGGAACAGGAGGAGAGGAGGGAGGGGCAATTGTGGCTGGTAAGTAAAACAAACAAATACAAAACAAGAAATAAAATCTTTAAAAATTTGTCTTCACATGAAAAAATTTACCATAGCTCTTCCTTTCATGTCTTGTTAGGCATATCTTTGTGCATACCCTTTGAGAACTTACTTGCACCAATGGTGCAATAGCATACCAGGAAGCCGTTGGGAGACAGTCTTTGATGGCCCTGCAAGCTCTGTGTTCACACTGCTCCACCTGTCTGTCTGTGAGGAGTCACTGACATTCCACGTAGTCTCATCACTCTCACTAGAAAGAAACATACACAAGATAGAAAAACAGATAACATGTACACTTAGAAAGGACTCCATCACAATCTCATTGTTCAATAGACATCCACCTTCATTCCATTGCAGCCATGTATTTCTAGTACTCCTGCTCTCATCACCTCTAAGTGACTCCCTTCTAGGGTAAGTCTAAACTTCTAAAGCTTGACCAGAAACCTTATCTCCCTTGCACTGGGCTTGCAAACCCTTTAGCCACCCACCTAAGTCACCCTCTCTTCTCCCTTAGTTAGGCAACAAGTATGGAACAGCTGGGACTCTGAAGACCAATTTGGAAGCCACTGCTAGGTTCTTAGACAATTTCTATCATCCATTCACTACAGACCACTGAATCATTTCTCTCATGCAGTCCTTATCCATTCTCTTCCTTCCTATAAAGCAATAACCACTCCTACAAAATATAAATCAGAACTTATTCTTTGAAAACAAATGCTGAGATTGTCGACCTTCCTCATCATTCCTACGTGTTCCCTGTTCAGAATTAACCATGACTTATCTGCTTTTCAACAACTCATAATCTATATATTCTTTCATATCCTGAAATGTGTAATTTTCCTCCGTCTGGCTAATAAATACTATTGGTGGAAATTCTCAGTGATTATTTTATAAGCGGCATGGGGACCGATGAGTGGGGAAAAAAGAAGCAGGACCAGGCAAGACAGACAAAATTTCCAACTACAAACCACTACAAGTTTCATTTAACCCACTGCACTGACCTGAAGAAAGGGAACTTCCTCGAGTCAGTCCTCAGCTCACTTACTCTTACTCACTTACTCAAGTGCCTGGCTCTTGCACTTCCATTTACAGCCTCACTTAGCCAACCCTCCTCGCTGATGTCTGGACCTAATAGTTAATGGCGAATCAATCGCACACCAGTTATGTTTTAAAGAGGCATTTATTTTGGGGCGTAAACTTACATGCACATAAATCGTCAGGAAAGGAGCCTAGTCGCTGGAGCAGGAGCCGGAACCAAAAGGCCGAGCCGAGGCTTGCTGCTCTTCTTTTAAAGAGAAATATACCACACCCCAGTGAGCTGGTATTTCAGTGGCTATTAGCTGACGGAGCAGAAGGCGCTCCCGCAGCATTGTGGGCTCGTGCTTCAGCGACTATTGGCTGAAGCAGCAGAAGGTACTCCCGCAGCACCTCCCCCTTTTGTTTAAGTAAGAGAGTTCTAAGCCTACTATGAAATTATATACAGTAAGTACAAACCTACACAATTATATACAATAAGTACAAATATCCTATTCTAACTAGCTAAAGTCTTGTATAATAAATAACTTGGCCAAGTCATGAGAGGAAAGTAGCTACATTTATCTAGTCTTCAACCCCATAGAAGATCCAAGAAGGGAAATAATGTTACCCGAGTAATTAGGAAGTGCAGTCAAAGAACTTCCAAAACATGCAACAAATCACAGAGACAACTGGCTACCTGGGCAATCACCAAAGACCTGTTTGCAGTGTTGAAGCAACCAACTTTGACTAAGGCCTAGAAAAACTGACAGATTATTTTTAACAGGCAAGAGATTTTTCAAAACCATCTTACCCTGTCTTGGCAAGATTTAACAGTTCTGTTTATCCATTTCCGAATTTTATCCATTTCCGGATTTTAACAGGCAAGAGATTTTTCAAAACCATCTTACCCTGTCTTGGTAAGATTTGACAGTTCTGCTTATCCATTTCCGGATACCGTGTATTTGTCAGTAGCTGAAGTATGAGCAGTTCCTTGCCAAGAGGCCAGTTTTGTCAAGAAGACAAGCTCCAAGTGGAGTGTCTTTGGTGCTCATCAATCTCTCGGGAATAGGTCGGTGTTGCCAGGAGTGATTGTGTCTCACTACACAGAACTCTAAGATTAAATTAAATGCCATTTTCTGCAGCTCTTTGAAGAGGTTGAAGACTATTTATATATAATCTCTATGTATCTCAAGAACCTGATTAGTCTAACCATAAATATGACAGACATAGATGACTATTCTTAACATGTATCTAACTTAAAGACTAAGAGAATAAACAACTGCAATAAATGAGGACAATGACCTCCAAATGTAAACAATAAATATCAATACATAAACAATATATGAGTATCTTAATCAGAAGTAGAAATGTACACTGCAATGTGGTATACATATATCAATGCAATATATATCAATACATAAAAAATGTTTTAAACAGGTATAAGCATGCATACATACAATATTCAATATAATTTAACTTTGTATCCATATATAAAAATCTATGCCGATGTAATTATCTATAAACAATAACTCACAAATACCATTATTATCTATCCAATTTTCCCTCTTTTTTTTTTCAAAAAGATCCCTGAGCTTATAAAATTCCTTTCCCAACTTTCAACCATATACTAATTATAATCAATCCCTAAATATTGTTCCTAAACCTGAGGATAAACTTTGCTGAGAGAGGGGACATCGTCCTCTAGAGTTACTTCCAGCTGTCATGGGGGTGAGGTTCTTTCTGGAGGATCCTGTGAAAGTAAAATGATGGTTAAATTTCAAGACCAATGTCTTTTAAAATTGCAAACAGTCTCTGAGTATTTTGTGGAGGTCTGGCCAGAATGTTGTTCAAGATGTGCACCATTTCAGCTAACCAAGTTGGAATCATCTGTGCAGCTGATACCCAAAACAGGACTTGTAGTAGCACTATCAGTATCATGACGTTATATCAACCAAGTGGAGTTGTTGTTACGGGGGTCCCATCTTCTTCCTGGAAACTTCAAATGTCAGTGCAGAAAAAACTCATTGTTCATTGTAGAAAACTTAAACATTAATTATATAGACATATACAAACATATATTCAATGAAAGGTATGATAGACATATTCAATGAAAAGTATGATAGATATGAAGAAAAGCAAAGATGTTTTCTAAACTCATATTTCTTTCTGTCTCATATCATGGCTCTTGACATAAGACAGAAACTCCAGAAACTCTGGGTTTTTCTCCTAACAACAGGCTTGGAATTAGAGAGGGACCGAGCCAAGAGTCCAACTCCAAAACCAGCTCTATAAATTCAGAAATATGATTTAGTATATTCCAGAGCTTCATACTCACAGAACCTATTCAGTTTTCTTGATAATCCATATTGGGTAGTTATTTTTCCATCTGTCAGTATTCAAACATCCAGGGTCCTTTGAATTTTTCAAAGACAAGTGTTTTCCTGTGGAGATAAGAACAGAACCCTGTCCCCATTCTAAGTTTTTCTTACCACCTGAATGGTTATCATCATTGTAGATGCTCTCATTTCTCCTTTCCAAGAGGTTTCTTCTCTTCAAATCTAACCTTTATTAATTTTGATGGTATCCACAATTTTTCTTCTCCTGTGGAAACAAGAGCAAAACCCCTTCCCCAATGTAGCACATCTCCTGGCTTCCATTGAGAGGTCAGCACATCCTTGATATAAACCGGCTGATTTAGTTCAGCAGACTTTTCCATTATCCAGTCTCTTTCTGCCGCTGTTGTTCCCTTCTCATTAGCGTTAAGAAAATTCAAGGTTAATAAGGCATTATGTAATCTATTTCTGGGGGCATTTTCCACCCCTTTCTGTTTATTTAATATATCCTTTATAGTTCGATTTGATCTTTCTATGACTGCTTGACCTGTAGGATTGTATGGTATACCTGTAACATGCTTAATATTATAATAAGCAAAAAACCGTTTCATTTTCCTAAAGACATAAGCTGGACCATTATCTGTTTTTATTTGTGCAGGTATACCCATAATGGCCATAACTTCTAATAAATGTGTGATTACTGAGTCAGCTTTTTCTGAGCATAAAGCAGTTGCCTACCGAAAGCCTGAGTAAGTGTCAATGGTGTGATGTACATATTTTAATTTTCCAAATTCTGCAAAGTGGAAGACATCCATCTGCCAGATTTCATTCCTTTGAGTACCCTTCAGGTTAGCCCCTGCAGGTAGTGGTGTTTGGTTATATAAAGAGCAAATAGGGCATCTCTTTACAATCTCCTTAGCTTGTTGCCAGGTAATGGAAAACTCTTTCTTTAAACCTTTGCTATTGATGTGATGTTTTTTATGAAATTCTGAGGCCTGCAACATGCTTCCAATCAATAATTGATCAATTTCTGCATTACCTTGTGCTAGAGGACCTGGCAGACCCGTATGGGACCGGATGTGTGTTATGTACATGGGGCAAAGCCTATTCCTGATTATGTCTTGTACCTGGATAAACAATGAAGTCAACTCTGTATCATCTGGTATAAATTCAGCAGTTTCAATATGCAAGATAACTCTTTCTGCATATTGTGAATCTGTAACAATATTAAGAGGTTCTTTAAAATCACTTAGCACCATAAGAATGGCATATAATTCTGCCTTCTGGACAGAAGTATAAGGGCTTTGTTCCACCTTACTCAATTCATCTGATTTGTAACCAGCCTTCCCTGATTTATTAGCATCAGTATAAAATGTATGGGCTCCAGTTATTGGAGCATCACGTACAATTCGAGGAAGAATCCAAGAAGTTCTCTTTATAAGGTTAAGTCTACTGCTTTTTGGATAGTTGCTATTAATTTCTCCCAAAAAATTAGCACAAGCCCTTTGCCATGGTTCATTGTCTTCCCATAACTTTTTTATTTCATCAGTAGTGAAAGGCACTATAATTTCTGCTGGGTCTATACCTGCTAGTTGACGAAGTCTCAGTTTACCTTTTATAATTAATTCAGAGACCTTTTCTATATAAGTTTTCAATTTTTACCTGGTTTGTGTGGTAAAAAGATCCATTCCAAAATAGTATCTTCCCTCTGCATCAAAATTCCCGTAGGAGAAATTCTGGAAGGCAATATGACTAGAATGCAACTAAGATTTGGATCCACCCTATCTACATGTGCCTCCTGCAATTTTTCCTCAACCATGGTCAGTTCCTTTCCTGCTTCAGCTGTTAATTCTCTGGGACTATTCAAATCTTTGTCACCATCTAAGGTTTTGTTTAAGTG